ACCCCAGAAGAATGACTCCCCTCATTAGAGGTCTCCCTGAATCTAAGAAACCCATGGGCATCCAGCTAAAAGGACAAATAGTGAGCCTCACAAAAGGGGAAAGAGTTGTAGCCACCTTGGAGGCAGCTGTAACTCCCAGTCGTAACTGTGGAGAATGTAAAATTTGGACCTGGGGGGAGGTGGCACAAGAGTTAATTATGAAAGAAAATACGGTCCAATACCCTCAAATAAAACTAATCCCAAATTAATTCGGTGCACAGAATGCAGAACACCTATGCCCCCTATAAGACTGAAAAGTAACATTCTCCCCTGGGCAAGGAGGATGAGTTAACAAAGAACACAGGGGAAAGAGAAATGGTCTTTGGATTTTGGGTTTACAAAAAGGCATCCCAAAGACCCCAATGGATGGTCAACCTACTAATAAATTAGAGGTATTAATTAAAGAATGGCCAACAAAGAGGGATCAATAAAAGCTGTTGTTCCTGCTAGAGCCCCTCCCCTAGAGGGATCACAGAAAGGGGAGATGGTGGGAAACGCCTTCCTTTGTCCTCAGTAGGCAAGCTGGGGGATGAAGGGTGGCTTTACATTAGACAGCTTACCAAAAATTCCAAAGGAGGCTTATGTCCTATTGGTCCCTACAGAATTTCTGTAACCTTTTTAGTAGACACTTGTCCTGGGTTACACAAAGAGTCTGGTATCCACCTTTTCTTTTCTCTTTTCCCCAAATATGCCTACTAATTTAGACTGTGGGAAGGGATTTAAAATAAGGATGGTACTCTATTATCCTAGGAGAAGAATGTATCCACAAGTGTGGAAAGACTGGAATGCTGATGACTCAGATAATCCAGGTGTTAAGGGCATGCACACCTGCCACCTCAGGCTATGAGCTGGGTGTTGTTTCTTTGTCCTTACACAAATGACTCATCTGTGATAACTCCCCTCCGGGGAAGTATCAGGACAATTCATACACATGGCCTGAAGATATTCATCTCTGCTGATGGCCATAATGGATCCACCTGTGCTGACATAACAGGCAGCCACAGCATCTTAGAAGGTGTCAAAGACTCTTAAAATGTCCCGTGATCCAGTATTAATCATCCAGTGAAGAACTCCCTGCCCCAGGGGAGGTACCAGAGACTTTCCCACCTATCCTGAGCCCAATAAAAGACCACATTAGGACTTCACCCAGCAGGTCGAGGGTCTCCTTCCCTCACTCCACGGGACTTCTACCACCTGGGCCTCTACCACCACCTCAGTGAATCAGAACTACAACCACCATCGGAGTTGCAGCAACCAGGTCTCATTGCTGGATCCAGTGAGTGTCTTGTGGATCCTTCCAGTCACCTGGGGGTCTGCAGCCCTGCTCCAACTGCCTGTGCCAACACTCCAGCCTCACTCCAGCACTGACCCTCCAAACCATTCCTGCCAAGTTTTAACAGGTGGGGGGAGGCCAGCCGCCATCTTGTTTTGGTCCAGTGGGTGGGAATTTTCTCCTCACTGGTTAGCTTAACCCAGTTTTATCAGTATTGTTGTTTAGCATTCTTCTTCATAAAGAGGTTTTTTTTTTCACTTACATCCGGGCATATTTGGTGTCTCTCACTCTCTCTCTCTATTGGAGAGAACCAGAGGTATTGAATCAGAGAAAGGAGACTTCCGTCTGAGGTTTCCACCCCTCCAAATTGTCTCAAACCGAAACAACGCTGCAGCTCAAATGTCTGCCCTCAAAGTTGAAGATGCCTCTTCATGTGGAATCGTTCCCTCATGTAAAGGTATATTTATTGTGGATACTTTTGGATACACCAAACCCCAGATGATAGCAAAGGGTTAGGGTTAGGGTTGGTTGCCAGGAGAGGAGAGAGCAATTGAAACCCTAATGGTTTTGGGAAAATTTCCTACAGATTTACTGGGGCTAGACCTCCTAAAGGGAAAGTCTTGGACTGATGAGGACGGAAAAATATGGGCTTTTGGGAAGGAAAACCAGCATTTGTGTCTGTTAGATTCTGCCCCTGCTCTTCCTCCCTCCCTAGTAACCAATGTCAAACATTATCCCTTACCCTTGGGAGCCAGAGAAGTGATGCCTTTGGATTTTTTTGATTTTTAGCTTTTTGTAGATTTTAGAAGTAGTTGTGCAGTAAATGTAGATTTTAATGTAGCTGTATTATTTGTCACACTTTAGCACAGTAGTTTACACTTACCCAAAACCTTTTCCCCATTTCATATTGAACTTTCTAAATTCTTTAGCTTGTTTAGACTTCTCTCAAGGTAGGCCTTCATTCTGTTTAAGAACATTTGCACCCTAGGCTTGAACAACAAGATACCATCATAGACAAAGTAACTTTCAAGCCCTTAACCTTGGAGGGGCTCCAAGGACTGTACGTGCTGTGAAGAAGAGGAAGATAAGGAAGAAAGGGGTCTTAGGGCCCCCTGACAATTTCCAGAGGGGCGTGCCGAAGGAGGATCTGAGGGGTGGATAATTCTGGGATTGGATGGACAATACCATAAATTGTGGAACCCCTGGACACATGCACGCATGCATCTTTGTACTCCCATGATTGAAGGCCTTTCAAATAAAGAACTGCTCTATATCTTATCTCTACTAAATTAAATTAGACTGGAGATCTTTTAGGCAACAGAAGGAATTGCCCCAGTTATTGGAGATTTAAAAGAAAGAGGAATGGTGATTATGACAAGTTCCCCTTACAATGCTCCTGTGTGGCCAGTTCGCAAGCCAAATGGCAATTGGAGATTAACTGTGGACTATCAATGCCTTAATGCAAAGACAGGGCCCCTTAATGTGTCCGTGCCAAACATTGCTGAACTAATAGCTACCATACAAGAACAAGCCCACCAAATCATGGCCACTATTGATATTAAAGACATGTTTTTTATGGTTCCCCTGAAGGACCAAGATCAGGAGCGTTTTGCTTTTATGTGGGAAGGCCAGCAGTACACTTTGACCTGCCTCCCACAAAGATTTAAACATTCACCCACTCTAGCACATCACACACTGGCACAAGAATTGTCACTCATTCCTCCTGCACTGGGAGTAGAAGTATATCAATACACTGATGACATTTTGGTAGCAGGAGATGAAATTGCTGTAACAGACAAATAACATACAAATGTCAAAAATTATGTTTCGCCATTGTTTCTGCCTGTCAAAAACGTCCTACCAAAACTTCTGTGTCAGTTTTCCACCAGAAGTTCTCACCAGAATCTCCCACTGGAGTCTTCCTGCCAGAAGATCCTGTTATTGTTCATGGTTATCATATCTCTTCAAACATCTGAACAGGGCTACGTGCCAAAACACCACAGACTACCTCCTTTGAACACTATAAAAGCTGAAGAGAAATTTGGGAAAAGTAGGGAAAGAGGAGTGGGAAAGACAATTGGCTGGCTATACAGCTGAGAGTTTCTCCCCCGCCTCGCCCTCACCTTTTTTCTCTTGCCACCGAAAGCTGCCTGCCCGTCACCAGAAGACTGGACCCCTGCTGTCTTGAAGTGGACCAGACTTGAGACCCACCGTGCCACCCTGACCAGATTTCTGAGAGGTACAGCGGGACCAAGGCCTCTGCACAAGCCTGAGACAGGGCCGGTGTGAGCAGTGAAGCCCACATCCTGGCTGCATTCCAGAGAACTGAAGCTGTGAAAGACCCCCCTGCTGCTAAAGAGATAACACCGAAAAGCGGTGGAGCCAGAGAAAAAAAAAGGCAGAAAACTACTTTCCTCTCTCCCCCCCTCGACCAATTCAACGGAAAAGGTAGTTTTGGTGGTAATCTTTTCTCTGCTTCTAAAAGTAATCTTAGCATTTTCCAACCTTTTCTTATTTTTCCTCTTTCTCTTTGCATCTCTTAGCAATTAATAAAAACAGTTTTGATATGAACAGATAACTTGTATGAGTTTTAATTTTGCTCAAGGGAATATTCGAATCTAAAAGTTCTTTCTGCAATTTTTAAGCAGATTGTAACAATTGCACTTGTACAGTCAAACCAAACAGACATTATTAAACATCTAGAGTCCTTGGACTTACAAATCCCTCCTGAAAAAGTACAACCCCCTTCGCAAGAAGTAAAATTCCTGGGAATATGGTGGAGGGGAGGAATGGTCTGTATTCCCCCGGACACCCTCACTTCCCTAGATGTTTAGAGGAAACACGTCCCCAACTTTTCGATAATTGCAAGGCCCTTATATGATTTGTTGCAGAAAAGGGCAAAGTGGGATTGGACACCCCCCCCCCCACGATTAGGCCCTACAACTCCTAATTTTTGAGGTCAACACATACCAATCACTAGGTGTAGGAGGTGTGTCCAGGGGTGCAGGGGACGCACCGAGGGCAGGGAAACTCAAGGGACATGCGCCGGAATAGACAATCCCATTGGTCACAAGGGATAAAAGAGGGCGCGAGTTTTGAATAAATCTCTCTCTGACCACCACCTCAAGGGGAGCTGACTCCATTTCTTTATTATATAAAGACTCCCTGCTACACATGGCAACCCGAACTGGGACTTAGAACCTACATTAGGTAGATTAGAATACCCTGAATCAGGGGAATATCGGTAAATTCTGGTTATCGTATCCATTTTTAGGATATGGGAATTTTTCACCAAAAAAAACCTAGACGTCTTTAAGTCGTTGTCTCAGCCAAATCTGAGAAATGCAGTTAGTATAGAGAGCTCAAAAATATTAGGGAAAAGTGCACAGGAACAGAGAACAAGAAGAAAGAAGAAAAGAAGAAGAAGAAGCCGAGAAACCAGGACAGCAACACCGGAGAGAGCGGAGCAGGGTCGACCATCCACCAGAGCGGTGAGTGAGCTGAAAAGCAGCGCCAGCATCCAACACCGCGGCCAGGGCTGCTCCCTGAGCGGCTGTGTGCCCGCAGCTCGGAAACCCGGGCGGCGGAGCACGCCGAAACCGCCGGGAAACCCCTGCCACCCACCACCTGCCGCGGCTAAGCCATGCGCGCGAAAGTGGCGCCGCTGCTGCCGAACACCCCAGCCCACCCGCCAGACCCCGCGAACCCCGCACCGGCGCACCTTTCCGCCAAGCGGAGAAGCGCCACAGCTCCGTGCAGCCTGCTGCCTGCCTGCATTCGCCCGCCGCCTCTGCTGGCCCCGCGCCCACGCTAAAAGCCGCGCGGGACCTATAGAAGCCACATCGCGAAAGCCCACTGCATCGCCCGAGCCCCTGCCCCGCCCAGTGGACCACGGGAGCCCGCAGCCACCTTCTGCTGGTCCGAGCGTGCCTGTAGCCGCCGCATACAGCGTCCACGCCGCTGAACCAGCCGCCAGGAGCACCGCCAACCATCAGGGAACCTCACGCGACTGCCGCCACCGCTGCCGCCGCAACCGCCGCACCGTGTCGAGAGACCCCCCGCCGTCTGCCACCGCCCCCAAGCCGCTGGAGCAGCAGCCGACACCCGGACAGCACCGGACGCTGACGGGGACGCCGAAAAGAAAAAAGCTGCGAGCAGAACAGCCGATCCAGAAACTGAAAGTAAAACTCAGCAGCCAAACAAAGGACCTCCGTACACGTGCGTCTACAGCGGCGAGAGTAAGGTAAAAAACTTGGGAAGTTTTTTCTCCACCGAGATTTCACAAGACATAGACGCACTAACAATTCTGCTAAGACCTTACCACACACAAGCCACAAGGGCTGAACTAACAGAGCTTGTACGTTTTATAAAAGCAGCAGTGCCCGAGCTGCCTTTGGTGGAGGCTCTGCACATAGAAATATGGGATAGGATAGGAGACCTCATGAAACTGAAAGCTCAAGGGGGAGACCCCCAAGCTAACAACGCCATTTCAGCCTGGCAAATCATAATATCTGCACTACACAGAGCCCACGAGCGGACGGTACAAGCATCCAACACCAACACACCACCCCCTGCCCACACTGCTAGCTGTAGCCCAACTCCTAGGTGTAGAAACACGAACGCACGGGGTTTACCGGGAGGGGAGGGATCTGCTCGTGAGTTAAGTTACGGATCGGGAGCCGATAGCCACGGGAGCACGGGTCGCCGGGAGGGAACGGAGCCTGTAATGCAGGATCCCAACCCATGGGATCAGCGCAGGGGGCTCCGTTGCAGCGACGAGGGGGGGTCCCAGCCTATTTGCCACCCTGCGCTGTAGATGATCAGCGACCATGTGTAACCGTATGGGCGCTGCCATCTTACCCGCCAAACGGACCGGAAGCCGATCCGTCTCTTCCGACCCCAGCACCGCCCAGCTCCAGCCGCCGGCACGAGGGGGGGAGGCCCCTCCCCCGCGCCGCGTCCACCACCTACCACCATCCCCCCACAGGGAACCGGGTTTACTGGGGCCACAGGGGGGGAGGCATGGGGGGGTGAGGAGGAGGGACCAGGGATGGTTCCACCGGGAGGGAGCGAGAGGGCAAACGGGGGAAGGTCAGTAGACAAGTGGGAGCAATGTCGGGAGGAGGCATTTCGAGTGGGAGATTTGCAGGTTATCCATGCATGCCCAGTTGTTTTTAGCCAACGTCAACCCCCTCAATTCCAGTCTCTGCCATATGAGGTGACAAAGGAATTGAGGCAATTGGTAAGAGATGCTGGTGTGTCCTTAATCAGTACTTTCACGTATTTGGAGACATTGAGTTCCATCTATTTTTTCACCCCACATGATTGGAAGAATCTAATGAAATTAGTTCTTAATAACACCCAATATACAGTCTGGTTAACTGACTATCAGGAGAATTGTGCTATGTACGCAACCAACACCCAAGCAGGCATAACAACAAACCAATTAACCAGGGAGGGGAATTACAGCACAGTAGATGCCCAGTCAACCTATCCCCAGGAGGTGTACGAAGTAATAGCCAAACAATCCCTGAAAGCTATGAGAAAGCTTCCCACTACAGACCAAGATAGCAACCTACTGAACCATATTCACAACCCCTAGATCGGCTGCAATCTGCTTTAAACAAGCAAGTTGAGTACAATAAAGCCAGAGAGATGCTTTATAGGCAATTGGCTTTTGAGAAGGCAAACCCAGGCTGTAAAAGAGTTTTGCAGGCCCTTCCTAAAAGGGAGAGCTGCAGCATTGCTGAGCTGGTTTGACCCTGCCAAGGAGTTGGCTCTGTGGAGCACCAGTCTGCCTCTTTAGCCACAGCCCTAAGTGCCCAGCTAGGAGTGCAGGAAGGGGCCAGACCTAGAGCGAGTTGTGTTAGATGGTGGTGTCCCTGACCACTTTCAAAGGGATTGCCCTTGGAGACCCTTAGCAGCAACATCCCGCAAGTACCTAAGCAGCAGGGAATGGGCCAAGTTGTACCAAGGGTGCCGTGGGCGGGGCAGGGGCCATGCCATGAGCACCGCACTGCTGGCTGCCGTGCTGCTTGACATCCTCCTCTTCTTTGCCACTCGCTTTCGTGAGCAAGAGAGGAAGCAGCTTGAGGCAAGTCATAATGTGCCAACAACCAGTCCCGAGAATACCCCTGTATTCTGCGTCCCCAAGAAAAGTGGGAGGTGGAGAATACTGCAGGACTTACGAGCAGTAAACGCAGCCATAGAACTTATGAGAGCATCGCAACCTGGACTTCCCTCACCTGCTATGCTTCCAGCAAAGTGGCCACTAATAATAATTGACTTTAAAAAACTGCCTTTTTACCATCTTCCTACACCCTGAGGATGCGCCAAGGTTTGCTTTCTCTATCCCCGCCTTGAACAATGCACAGCCCATGCAGAGATATCGCTGGGTTGTCCCTCCTCAGGGGATGCAAAATAGCCCAACGAGATATCAAACAGGCATCATACACCATTATGTAGATGACATATTAATAACCACGGCCACAGAAAATGAACTGCAATTTGTTGTTACTGCTCTAATCAAAGCCGTCCAAGACGCAGGGTTACAGGTTGCTGCAAAAAAATTCAGCAATCGCAACCCTGGACATTCCTTGGATGGAAAATCATGCAGCAAGAAATTTCTCCACAGCCACTGCAGCTCAAGGTAAAAAACACTTTGCATGAGTTGCAAAAACTTCTGGGAGCCATCAATTGGTTAAGGCCTATTTTAGGCATAACCACAGAGGAGCTACACCCTCTATTTGAGCTGCTTAAGGGGGACTCAGAACTAACGTCTAGCAGGTCTCTGACAGCAGAGGCAAAGCAGGCGTTAGACATTTGTGCCAAGGCAATAGAAGGCAGGCAAGACAGAAGGAGAAATCCTGAACTGCAAATCTGCCTTGCTCTCGCACCCAGCAGGTACCAGCCATTTGCAGTTTTGTTTCAGTGGGATCAGACTGAAAAAGACCCACTGCAAATTCTAAAGTGGCTGTTTCTGCCCCACACACCACCTAAAACTGTGTGGACTACTAATGAAATGTTTGCCAAGCTTGTCTTTAAAGGCAGAGGACGACTACAGGAACTGGATGGGAGAGATCCTGCCACCATCTACATCCCAGCTACAAAGGACAACCTCAACTGGATGCTAGCTGAGGATGCAGGATTCCAGGCTGCCTTGGCAGGCTTTGACCATGACATTTCCATTCATCTCCCTAAACACAGATTGTGGGCAGAAGTTGGTAAATTACCTCTAAAAGCCACAACCAGATGCAAACATGAACCAGTGAAAGGCCTCACGGTCTTCACAGATGCATCTGGGCGGACCCGAAAAGCTGCAGTGGCATGGGTAAACCCTGACACAGGACAATGGGAATGAGAGGTACAGACCATGAACCAAGGTTCTGTGCAGGTTCTGGAACTGGTTGCCATACGTATTGCCTTGGGGAAATTTTCTGAACAACCTGTTAATATTGTTACCAATTCCTGTTATGCTGCAGGGTTAGTGTCCCGTCTCGAAAGTTCGTTTCTTCGAGATGTCGCTAACCCTCACCCGTTGTTTGAAATGCGTTCTGTATGGTTTCTTGTCAATCACAGAAAGTTTGATTTTTACATAATGCACACAAGGTCACACACTGACATGCCAGGACCAATAGCTGACGGGAACCGAGAGGCTGACAAAGCAGCTATGTTTAACACTGTACCTAGAGTCTTAGAGCAAGCAAAATTGTCTCATTCATTTTTCCACTAGAACGTATGTTCTCTGAAGAGACAATTTCAAATAACACTCAATCAGGCTTGAGACATAATCATGTCATGCCCAAACTGTCAGAAAATCACACCCATGCCATCTCAGGAAGGCGTTAACCCCAGAGGGTTAATGGCAAATGAGATTTGGCAAACAGATATCACACACATCTCCGAATTTGGCACATTAAAATATGTACACGTAACAGTTGACACCCATTCACAATACATAACTGCCACAGCACACACTGGGGAAAAGGCCAAGGATGTAATAAGACACTGGCTCAGTTGTTTTGCTACCCTTGGTACCCCAAAACAGATTAAAACCAACAATGGACCAGCTTTCATCTCAGAAAAGGTAAGAAACTTCCTGTCAGATTGGGGAATTTCACACACCACAGGTATTCCACACTCACCTACTGGACAAGCACATTGCACACTGAAAGACATGTTAACTAAACAAACTAAACTAAACAAAAAAGGGGGGAATCAGTCTGTAGCCTGCAAGAGTGCCTGTGGAAAGCCATGTATGTCATAAATTTTTTAAATTGTGACAGTACTGAAAGAAGCAGGCACGAAAGGCAGCACAGGCCTCAGGCTTTCGCCTCTCCCAAACCACCAGTCATGGTAAGAGATCTGATTTCAGGGCAGTGGATGGGACCGGTGGAGCTTGTGACTTGGGGGCGAGGCTATGCTTGTGTGGCTACAGGAAAAGAGCTGCAATGGATTCCTTCCAGGTGTGTTAGACCCTACTTAGGTACACAACCACAGCAGCAAGAACCAGAGTAACGCAGAAGTTATAAAAAGGTTATGTTTATGTTTCAGGTCTACATTTAAGGATGACCAGTGTGGCAAAATGCAGAGTCTATACAAAATCCATGAATGTGTGTATGATGAATGAAATGATGGCCATCAGTGAATGTGTGAGTGAATGAATAAGAGAATTGTTTGACTGGACAAGTGCCTTAAACACCAAACATCTCACAAAATAACACTACCTCTGCCACATGGTCACTTTAAGAGAATTTAGTTTGCTAAGCTTAGCCTGTTTTTGAAATAAAGTTGAACCTCCCAGTTATTTAAACCCTCA